TACTCATGTCCTGAAAGGAACTCTTTCAAAATGCAGAAAAAATAAACCAAGGAAAGGATCAGCAGACTCGCTTCGCGGCAGCTCCAAACGGTGCGTTTCCACATCACGTTTCAGCGCTGTGTGACGCTGAGGCCCGTTCAGCCGGTGGACTGTCATCGCTGAGGCTGCTTGACAAATTATCAGAGGCAGACTACTCTCACTGCAGTGGTCCTCAGAGGCTGCCAGAGTCTAGCTCTGGCTCTCTAGATGAGCCGTCGCAACTCCTGCCGATGTCAAAGGAGAAAGCAGGAGACGCACATAACCAACATGCTGACATACTCAAATGGCACACTGGATAGCAGTGAAAGGAGCGCAGTGTTGCTGAATGCTAAATATCTAACAATATACGGTAAATTACTTTTCCCAATTTGTGGACAGTTCTGCGTTACCCCTTGATCACCAGGAAATAGTTAACATTGGAACCTAGTTATAGGTTAAAACTGAATAAGATATTCTAAATAGGACCCGTCTGTTAGTCAACATCAGCGCTAAACTGTGCTAATTAATGCATGTTTGTAATTAACGTGTCTGCAAATCTGTAAAGCCGTTCTCCATTTCAAGGGGAGTTATTCTCTCCAACAGAAGGCACAGCCATCAAGTTTCCTGAAATGCCTCATTTGTAGTCAAGGATTGCCCTTATTTACTCAGTGACATCACTGTGAAACTCATTTACATGATGCCTGCCTAGAGACTAGTTTGGCATGGCCCAAAAAACAGAATAAGTAATTTTCTTGGACTCCAACTTTCTGGATGAAACTAATAACCAATCAAAGCAGACAAATCCAAGAAGTGGTGCCATTGGTGTGTGACAGCCTCGCATCTGCCAGTGTACAGGGCAGCTGAGGCTACAATGTAGTTTATTACCATCAGCATGTGAATGTTGGGCAACCTTATCTATTATTCACGTGCTCTCATGTTCACACTCTTCAACAAAGAAACAAAGAAAGAAAACAATCTTTTCTATAGCACTTCTCACGATAAAAATCACGAGGTGCTTCACAAAAACAAAAAAATTCAAATATAAAAAAGACTTCAAAAAATGATTTAAAATGTGTTTAAAACGAGACAAAACTGTGATTAAAAATATAAGGAAATGGAGAGGGAAAATGAATAGGAAAGAAGGAAATCAGTGGATCCCGAAAAAGGCGGAATAAGAACAGAAGAAGGAGAGGGTGGTGTCGAAGGCCACACCAAAGCCTGAACAGGTGAGTTTTCAGCTAAAGACCACTGAGCCCACTGATCTCAGGCTCAGGGGGAGATAGGTCCAAAATCTGGGGGCCACAGCAGCAAATGATCTGTCACCTTTGGTCTTTAGTCTGGTGGATCTCACTCTCCGTCTTTCCCTCACTCGTGAACAAGACCCCAAGATTCTTAAACTCCTCCACTTGGGGCAGGACCTCATCCCTGACCTGGAGAAGGCGTTCTACCCTTTTTATTTTATTCTATACATTTTATCCAAGGAAAATGTTGTTTCCGTTTACAGGAAAGAAAAACTTTTCTCTCACTTTGTTCCCTTGTGAAATCCCTAAAATTTTGTTCCAGAAATGAACCAAACTATGAGATTAAAACTGGGGGCAGCATTGGCTCAGGAGGCAGAGCGGGTTGTCCAGTAATTGGATGGTTGCAGGTTCAATCCCGGCTCCCGGCAGAGAATTCTGCCTGCTGGTGGTGGTCTGGAGGGACTGGTGGCGCCTGTACTCAGAGGCCTTGCCTTGTCAGTGCGCCCCAGGGCAGCTGTGGCTATGTTGTAGCTCGTCACCATCAACCTGTGAATGTGTGTGTGAATGGATGAATGATACACTGTAGTGTAAAGTGCTTTGGAGTCCTCTGCCTCTGACAGGTGCTTTACAAGTGCGGGTCATTTATCATTTAACTAAGGTACATACTGAACTGAGATTTTAGGCAGACTACACCACCACAGGCTTCTAATAAGTCCGTATCTAACTCACAGTGCAGATCTTATTCGGTAATGGCAGCAGGCTTGCATACAGTCTGGGCAAGACTGTTGGACAATGGCTGGGGTAAAGAAAGGTAGCAAAAAAGCCATTTCTCCATCACGACCCTCACGATTCATGTTGTTTTGGAAGCTGTGCTGTCTTCTGCCAGCACTAGGACCTCCTCGATAGTGTTTACTTCCTGGTGCTTGAAGCTCTCCGCAAGAGAAGATCCAGCAAGAGAACCGCGTAGTTGTCGGCTCACCTCTGAGCTCCATGGTGACGGCAAGAATGCTCCGGCCGGTGACGTCACCAGTGGTCCTCCACGTTCACTCCAGCACAACTGTTTTCCGTTTGACTGATTAGTAGATTAGTAGTTTGGCATTGCTGAGGTCCTTCATCTATGTTTGTTTGTGAGCTTTTAGCATTTAGTTCTGGTTAAGCTAAGTTGTGTTTTTTAAAAGTTGAAAGCGTTAGGTTCTCTTTAGACCTTCAGTGTAGTTTGTACTTTTTAGAAAAAAGTTTAGTTTTTTGTCGGTTTTATTGTGTAACAACCTCAGCTTGTTACATCGCTTGATTTAAAAATCCTTTTGTTTATCTTAAGTGGCGGAGGTCGTTTTTGTGTTTTGTTGAAAATCCAGGGATATTTACCTCCCTTTTGACCGCATTTTTGTTTATCTCTTGACATCAAAGGTAGTGTTCGTTTTTTGTGTTAGTTGTCCTCGGTCTTTGGATGGGATGTATTTTGTTAACCCAACTCAACAACAAACCCGATTATTTTAAGTTCAGTACCTGTGTTTCCTCCCCTTGTTCAAGTGAAGCCGTAGCATCTGGGGAAGAATAGTAGCACTCCACAAGAAAACCATCAGGGACAGACTGATATTCTGCTTAAGGGTTAAGTTTGCTGATGTAGCAGATTATTCTATCATAAGTGACCCCCCCCCACACACACACACACACACACACACACACCTCTGACATGCAAGTTGTTGCCCTTTGGGAGGAAGCCGGAGTATCAGAAAATGCATGCAGAGGACATGCTGACTGCATGCAGAAAGGCTGCAGCCGGAATGTGAACCTGCAACCTTCTCCCTTTGAGAAAAACGGTGCTACCAACTGCCCCACTGTGCCACACACAGCCAACATCCCATTGTGTAAACTAAAAAGGGGATGCTGCTGCATTGCTGAAGACTGCTGATAACAGTCCTCTGAAGAAGTCCTGTCAAGGTTATCTGTGAAATTCCTGTCTTTGATGTCTCTGAGGAATGTCCTGATTCTTGAATCTGTCTTAGCGGAAAAGAGAAGCTGACATCTAGGTCTTGTGATTGTGACATCATCACCGATGCGCCCGCCCCGTTAATCACCTGATCGGTCATATTACACAACAATGGTAAATCGTTGCTGTGTTGTGGGGTGACACGCGTCATCGCCAGGGGAATAAAGACGGAAAACTAGCTAACTTTTCACCCTTTTCCTGACTGGAGGCACAGCCACGAGTCTAGCATAAAAAAGTTGGCTTGCTTGGATCGCAGCTGTAAGGCGATCAAACGTCACCTTGTGGAATATTTTGATTCTTTTAAGTTACAGATGTTGTACGTTTTTTTATACATAATTTCTTTCCTTCAACCACGACATGCACACGCAACACACACACACACACATACGGGTAAGCTAAAGTGGGCGCACTGACACACAACACAACTTCTCCTGCTACACTTGTTCTGTGAGAGGACAATTTTGATTGTTTTACTACAAAAACCAGCAAATGAAATGTTTACCTCTCATCAGGACATTTACATCCGCTCACAGCATGAACAGGAAAGCCTAAAATGTCCGTTATGCACAACTCTGGAGGCAACAAGTTGTCGTCAGTGCTCCAGTCTTGGGACTTTCATATGGATCAAAACCATTTATAATGCAGATTTTGTCCACACCAGTCCCCGATGTTTTTATTTACCCTATCCCTGTATATTCCGCATCCTTTTTGGGATTTTAACACTTTCTTTCACCCAAATCTGCTTCTTCTCTGCAACGTACTGTTTGTTTACACAGTTTGTTTACACTCATCATGCCACCAACATGTCTGAGCACATCCCAGAATGCTATGCGTAATCACGTGTGATCACCAGCCCTATTAGGGGTAGAACGAAATATCAGTGGGACAATATATCAGGCCATTATTTTTTATGCATCGGCCGATAGACAATGTGTAGTTTGTACCATTAATTTCTGCAAATATCAATCAAATCAAAGATACTTTATTAATCCCAGAGGGAAACTAGAGTTTCAGTACACACAATTCAGAGATCAGACATACATGGGCAAGACACATGACAAGAATTGTTGACTGTGGTCATTCGCAACCCTGAGTGATTTAGGTATGTACTGCCTCCTATCACCAGGGAAAATTCACACCATTACTTTGAGATGTTGCTTTTGTGAGAACTATACCATTTACCGCATGTGTATTGTTTCTACCTTGTCATTGTGTTTGAAACCTAACGTGTCTGAACACTACTGATTTAACTCTGATTAATCTAATACGGTGATGTTATTCCCACCACGTCACAGCAGTTCACAACCCATTAACCTTAGATACCCTTGATAAGCCCAGTAGCCCCAGCAGAGAAGACCTGCCACATTTTAAAGAGGATGACAACAATCTGCCCTGAAGCTGGAGGCTTTCAGACACGTTTGGGGATTTTTGGGTGACGTCATGACTCTTTTAATGACGTTTGCTAAATGTTTTCATGGTTTCTGTGACACTTTTCCCCCTAATTTCTTTTACAGTCTACTCCCAGTTGTGTGGTTTGTGTATGTGCGCTTGTTCTAAAGAATATCAAGAAGATTGAGATGCTTTCCTCTTTAAAAAAAGAGGGGTTTCCTCTATTTTTTGACAGTTATATTTGTTTCCACTTACTTCAAAGAGATCAAACATGTCTCTGAGAAAAAGTTCTTTGTAGATCTGATTTAGTGGATCCTTTGCAGCAGCTCTTTGAACTCTTTACTGCTCTCTATCTGATTTAGGATGGCCCATGTTCTGCAGTTTGATGAGCAAAGCAGAAAAGTCAAGGATGCCAACATGCAGGATGAAGACACGTTTGAGATCTACGATCCGCGCAACCCCGTCAACAAACGAAGGAGAGAGGAGAGCAAGAAGATCATGAAGGAGAAGAAGGCCAAAAGGTGAAGATCTGAGGTTAAAGTTCAGCTTCTGTCTACCCTGTGGGACTAAAAACTGATTATGCAGCATCCTGACTCTCTGCTTTCCCATCAGAGTCCGTTGTTGAGCAGTTTCCTGACATCTGAGCTTATCTGTGATGGAAGAGCTGTGATAGATAACTCTGTTACTCGTCATGCTTAATGTTGTAAAGCTTCAGGACTACATGTCATTTCAGGGTTTTGTTTGGGTTGTTTTATTGTGGGGGGGGGGGTATGGTGGTACTGTGTAGACTTTTCTACAAAAGAACCCATGTCCAATATTAACTGCATAACTGTCTAATAAAGTTAATATTTCTAAATTTGAAATCACTGTTTTCAGAATTGTTTTTATCAGAAATAATGAGCTTCTAAACTCAAACACGGTCACAGAGCTCTTACTCATCCTGTCAGCCATGTCCGCCTGATAGCAGAACCCGCTTTAAGCGATAGCGCCAAACACCAGGCACTGTTTTCTTGGTCCAAACGTCTTTTGTTGTCCATGACTTCGAATTGGGTTTCTCTTTTTGGGACTCCGGTAGTTTGTCCTAGAGTTGAAGTGGTAGCAGCCGGCTGTTTCTCCTTCTCTGATGTTATTCAGCCGAGAACCTCTCACACCGGTGGTGTTCTGTTGCCAAATACGCAAGTGCTTAATGAATGGAGAACCCAGGGAAATGCAGAAGTGCAGCGGTTCAGTGAGACAGACAACCGATTGCTCCAATCGTTGGTTTCGGACCGAGTCGTGTTGTTGGCTGAGGTTTTTAGACAAATGTGAGAGAACCACTTAATTAATTGTTTATTTTAATCTCTACAATATATTTGTAGCTATACTGTGTTGAAATGTTGTTGAGGCATGAAAAAAAGGTTTTAAGCTAGCAGATTTGCTATTGTAGCTTTAAAGTCTCCATAAAATTATAATTCAGAACCTTAACAAAGCTGCTTCCAGTAAAATGATGTAGAAAATGGAGAGCCAGATTCATGTCTGTGTCAGGTCACTACTGGAATCATCAGAGCCTGTAAAATGGATTTAGCTTCACTCTGCTAGATTTGAAGTCAAGACTTCGCCTCTGCCGTGTGTGACCAGAAGCTGCACTTCACCAGCATGCTGTTTTATTTAACTGCTCTTCTGGGATTGTGTTTAACTTTTCATAATGTTCAGGAAGGAGAGTTAATGTTACGCTATGTGTCCGAGGATCTGAAACAGGTGGCAGAGCAATCTCACCAATGGGGTTTCTTCTTGGGACAGCAGTAGCTCAGGAGGTAGAGCAGGTTATCCAATTAATCGGAAGGTTGCAGTTTCCGTCCCGGCTTCGACCAGAGAAGGCTGCTGTGGGTGGTCGGAGGGGCCGGTGGCGCCATTGTTCGACAGGCCTCGCATCTGTTAGTGCGACCCAGGGCAGGCGCTCGTCGTAGCTCATCATCACCAGTGTGTGAATGGGTGAATGACTGACTGTGTTGTGAAGCACCTTGGGAGGTTGTAGAACCCTAAGAAGGCGCTATAAAAAAATCAGGCCTTTTACCAATTCTTGGTCCACATCAGGTTGAAATTTGTCACCAATGACTGACTTAAGCAAGTAAAAATGAGAAATAATAGGTTTGTAATTTTCAGGTTAGTCTGACAAAATCCCTGTGAAGACTTTTCCCTCTTCTGTCGTCATTAACACAGAAATGATCAACATTTAATGCAAACTGAATAACATCCTGTCTTTGGGTTCAAATACATCCTGACATTTTTCTGGGGATAGCGTCTTTTTAAGTGGTGTTTAAATGTGATCTTCTACTACATCTGAATAAAGCCTGAAGCTTGGCCATCTTCTTTTTCTGTGACCAGCATGTAAAAAGCCTCCATTCCCAAATGTCCTAATACACAAACAAGCGTGTCCTTTACTCCTCAAAGAATAAAATCCGTTTGATTGTCATATTTATTTGCACAGAAAAGAATTGCTCATTAAATGTATTTGTACAATGACATTGCCTGTCACTTAAACCTGTAATTTATGTCTGAAGAGAAAACCAAGGTGAAAGACAGGACAGTATAACTTGTCTCCAACACCAAGAGAATATTTAATGTTCCTCTGTGTCACTGTGCCCAGCTGAAAGTAGGAAATGCCATTCTCCTCTAGACTGGTCCCAGTTAAGCCAGGTGCTAAAACAAGCCTCTCCCAGAATAGATGGCTTATACGGCAAGATGAACACGCCCCTTCTGACACCATTGTGGAATCGATATTCCTGCCATGTGTGGTGTGTTAAGAAAGCCCTGGTCTGCTCAGAAGGATGTCAGAACTGTCTGCCATCAAGCCTTTAACAGGTTGTATTCTCTTGGTCCGATTTCAAGGACTAACTGCCTGTGGAATGTCGTCAGGGGTGGACTGGGACCAAAATTCAGCCCTGGCCTTTTTACGAATCGTCGGCCCTCCCTATTGGGAGAGCAGCGGGGGTGGGGGGTGTTGCCGCCCGGGGACTCGTCTCTAGGCCGAATGTGAGATCTAATATGGACTGGGACTGTTAAATTATAAGCAGGGCCAGACCGCTGCGACCGGGAGCCCTGGCCTTCCAGATCAGCTCATTCTCCACGGGCGGAGATCAGTGGGGCATTAGCTACATGCTAACGCGGTAAAAAAAAACTCCTACGTCATTGCTCTACCGCGTTTTTCTCACTGAAAACGTCTGGAAAAACTGTTAGCTTCGGGTTACCATGTAGCTAATGTTCTTAAGATCACCAATTGTGGAGTAGTGTCGGCCCAAGCTGGGCAAGCAGCCCACTTGGCTAAGCGACCCACCGGGACAGTGCCAGAATGCCAGATAGGCCAGTCTGCCCCTGCGTGTAGCCAATCAGTAGGCGAAGTGACGGAAGCGCATTGCACACTTTTTCTCTGTCATGTTCGTTTGCTCCAAAGTCACGATTGATCTCTAGAGGTTTTGCGGGATTCCTCATCTGACCACAGAATGTTCGTAAGTGAAGTTGGTTTGTGTGTGGTGTGTAGTTTTTGATGTGTGGCCATTTACCACACACTCTAGGACCAAAACCGTTACATCCAAAAATTCCTGGTCCTTTGATCTCATCACACTAATAGGGGTTTTTCAACACTCCTACTCAGTGCAACTTGTATCGATTTGGCTAAGGACGGCCTGTCTATCAGTAACGGGTCATTTTTTCAATTCAGTTTATTTATATAGCACCAAATCACAAGAGTCGTCCAAAGGCACTTCACAAAGTCAACATCCCAACAGAATCTACTCATCAGTGCAATGACTTGTGTTCATTGTGCCAATTAGTTAAAAGTTGTCTATGTAAGGAAGCCGATTGCAACAAGTCACTGACTTGTTGTGTTGCCTGGTTCTACTGCTGGACTAATAGTGACAACTTTGATGAATCAAAGACAGGATTTTTCAAACAGCCACAAAAGAGTTTCATGAATATAAAGTGTGGTTGGTTGTCTTCAGACGTCCAACGACAGAGCAATGAATTTCTTTTGTCTCTGCTGTCAGCACCTTCAATCCAAGCAACGATTTCAGATTTTTCTATGCCTGTCGTGAAACAGCAGTTAGATACTCATGAGCACATCTAGCATCTTACTGCTGCTAAAATACGTTCTTCTTTCCATACTGGCTACCATATTGGCATACTGAGCCGCTAGCTTAACCTTCAGAAATGAGCACATTCTGTTCAGTGAGAAGTTCACAAAGTACCTCAGATTAGTTTACAATAGCTTTACGATTAAATGTACTTTGTTTGTGATAGGAAATTACAGCATACAATAAGCATTTCAGAGTGTTTTGAGCCAAATAACTGGATAAAATGTGAAACTACCCTTTAACAAAAGCCGAATAAGTGCTACTTCTCCTTTTATATGCGTTATTTGGATAAATGCTTTTGTGTCATTGCTGAACTTTCACAGCCACTTTATGATATTTATCTTTACTTACAGGCCAAGTCGCACCAATTTTTTTCTTTTATTTTGTCTGAGAACAAAATTCATCCAGAAGTTCTTCTTGTGTTACACTAGACCAAAATTTGCACATTTTTAACACAAAAGGATGACAGAGTAAATAAATATGAGCTGCTTCTCATCTTATTTGTTTGTCGTCAGCAACAACGACACATTCATCGTGTAATGGACCAGAACAAGATTTAATGTAGTCACGGAAATCTAGATTGCACCCTTAGAAGTACAAATGCATTGAAACCAAAGTTATACAAAGATGGGAAAGAAAAGCCATGAAAATGATTTGACCTCAGTCAGGAGGATTACATTGTTTAGTCTGACTTTAAGAAAACTTTCAAGTTTTCAAATTATAATTTCAGGAGGTAATTAAATATGAAGTCAGAAGTTTAGTAAGAGCCACAAATGCATGGCTTTTGATATTATGGTTTGGCTTTAAAACAAATAGAGTTGTCAGTTGGCCAATCTTTTTAAGAGTTATTTTCGCCTGCATTGTTTTGTTAAAGAGCAAGTCACCCCCTACCAGATTCTTACGCAACTCCCACTTCCTGTTTGAAAAATGCAACAAATGCTGTTGCCTAGCAGACCGAGAGGGTGGAGCCACTAACAAATACACACACACAGGATCACAACGACATTGTGACATCATATGGTACCAGCTAATGTTCTAGGGTACCTCTTAGCCAATAGCAATGGCAGATTTAAATTCAAGTGCAGTACAGAGTTTTTACCTGACAACGGCACAACACTGACAGTTTTAGGCAGAAAATTTTAATTTTAACTAAAATTCACTGAAGTGCAAAACTACTGACTACACGTGTCTGCAGCACGACTAGACACACATTTATATAGTTTATCAGTAAAAAAAAAAAAGCTGATTTGGGGGTGACTTGCTCTTTAAATAAAGTTGTTACAGGTTGAATTTGATGATTATTTTCCAGCCAGACCATCTCCTGGCTAAGATGCATCCATTCATTTTCTTCCACGTAACCAAGGTGAGGTAACATGTCTAGCAGAGAAAGACCGTGACAGTCCTCTCTCCAGCGACACTCTTCAGCTCCTCCTGGGCACTCCCAATGCATTCCAAAACCAGAGAGTATAACCTCTTTTAGAAAACAATGCCGCCAATTTGCTGCAATGCTGAGCCAGCATCAGGGAGTCTTAGGTTGTTTGTAAGTGGTCAGACTGTAGCGGTAATGTAGCACAATCATGTCCGCTTTACAAAAGGTTACACGATGGCGGTATAAAGGAGATATGGGGGTGGACTTCTTTTTATCTTGGACATGACTTGCTTTTTATTGCGATTGAAGCTGTACTCATTACGTTTTTTTTGACTAGCCGCTCCTAAAGTTGTCTGTCGCTGCTTCAATACAATCCATTATAGTC